ACTGTAAAACTGTAGGTATAGGTGTGATGTTTCTTATTATTTCAAGGGGAGAAATCTAGTACTGGACGTTTTTATTTGAATGAGAGTGCTAAGATATGTCAATTTGGAATAATTCTCAGATAGCCTGGGCAGCTTAAAACACATCTGGCTAGCAGTGTTCCATCCATCACAGTGGTTCATTTTGTACTAAAGTAGCATGTGATACGCTTTTTTTATAATCTCTTTTTTAATTACAAAAAAAAACAAGTTTTATACATATTGAGGAACTTATGCTTATATGTACACATTTATAAAACATAGAGTACTTACTGGTCATTAAGCTTAAAGGACAGTGTGAGCACACGCTCTGCAACACTTTCTCGGGGTCTGTTTCTTCTTTTCACCTCTTCTTTATGCAACAAAAGTTGGCAAACCTTTATTGTAAAACTTAATATAGGTGAATGAGATCTTTTCATAAAGGGTTGGTCACTGTATCCATATTTTTGGCCCGTCCTTGCCCGACACCAGCCAACACAAGCCTTGCACTGGCTTATGCTGCTTTTCCTGGCAACAAACACAGCCTAGAATAGACGACGGTGCCACATTACCCTCTTAGTAATATAATATGAATCTCTATGGTGTAGGCAAAATGAATTTCACCTCTGCCCTTAGTGTAGTGGTGGCATATGCGGGCCTACAGAGCTCGCTAAATGTCATTAGCAGTGCCACTAGCGAACTTAAAATTGGTTTGGACTTGCAATAAATTTTTTCCTGACCAATGTCATCAGATTCCCGTTAATTCAGGGCAGAATGGGCATGTTTGAAGATCATGACAAGAAGCTGTTCTATATTTCTGCTTTGGACTTCCAACGGCAGGCAAGTCTAATTCTGCACCAGGCTGGCCCTCTTGTTATGATCAGAGGTTAAGCTGACATGTCATGTCTTTTGCAGCTTGTCAATGAGCACCATAAAACACAGTTCTACAACATCATCAAAGGTGTTGCCACTCCAGATACCCCGTATGCAGAGCTGCTGAAGCAGCTACCACAGCCACCTTAAGAAAACAAAAGAAGCAAATGTTCTAACAAATTTTCAGGTGAGCACAGCACTACTTTGAACTTGAATTATGCATTTTCATGTACTTTAGTCAGTAAAAAGAAAATGTTCTCAAGCTGTTTGAAAAGTTTAGAACGGCATAAATTACAAGTAGGTTTAACTGAAGCTTGAAATTTCATTTGGAATTACAGGAAAAACAGTAGAATTGCGAAAATTCAAGCTCTGATAATTCATACTTCAGGTTAATTAAAACAAAATTCAGATTTTCGATTGGCCCTCTATTCTCTTTATGTATTTGAAAATCCTCTAAATTCAAACTTTGTCATTCAGTCAATTCATACTTTTTGCTGGTTCATACCAGAAAATATCTGCTGCTTTCCCGCTGTTATTTAAAGATTTGTGTGCTTATATAATTGTAACAGTCTAAAAATGAAAACCAAGCACCTGAGGCCTTCAAGGAAAAAGGTTTTACAAATAAATACAAATAAACAAATCAAATGTTTCAAATGAAGCACTCGCATGGTAAACTGTGATGCTTCTCAAATGGTATAGAGAGCTTTGTGCTGAAAGCACATACGTCTAGCAAAGAAGCAGTAGGCAATTCAAGATTTATTTAAAAGGACTGATCAGCCGTAAATGGCCAATAGACTTGTGGACTTTACACCTCTGCTTTCTGTTCACTGCGTGCAGTTAGGACTTAAAAACATCTAAGATTTTTAAATGTGTTAAAACCAATGCCTAATCATAATTTGTGGTGTCACCTCACCCAGAGTCATCTATCTGAGAACTTCTGGTAATTCAAACTTCTTGGTAATTCAAACAAAACTCTGATATCCCTTCGACTGTGAATTAACAAGAGTCGACTGTATAAGAAAAGAGGAAATGCTGCCACTAGACCAGCACTCCACATTCTACTCAGTGTTCCAAACAGTAGCACAGCGACTGTGACTGCCGCTGCTTTTGTGTGTTTAACCTCTTCAGACCTGTGGTAAACAAGGTGAACTCATAAAAGCTTTTTATTTGGTAAACAAGGTGAACTCATAAAAGCTTTTTATTTTTGTCACAAAACTCTTGTCAGAAAGAAAAAATGAAAACTGCATTTTCAGAGGAGAAAATGGATTTACCATTTGGTTATATCAGGCGTAAACTGAGTAAAAATCAAGGTCATTTTTGTTTAGAAGGCAAAGAAACAGCTCAAGTTCAGTGCGTTTAATGCAGACTTTTGCACTGTTATATTCATTGCGGCATATTCTTTAGGGGCACATGCCCTGAAAAATGTCCCTACAAGTCAAATTAGACCTCTTTAGGTGGTATTAAAATCAGCTTGCTAAATTTTGGGACTGCCAGAGACTCGCCAATTTGAACATTCAGGTCTACTGCATTTTCAAATCGTTGTATTTGCTTGACGTGTACGCAAATTGGTGTTTTTTGTACTCTGTTCTTAAACTTTAAAATTGGTTGAGAATGTTTTTAGCTGCAACATCCTTGACCTTGCAGTCATTCCTGTATCTGAGCCTTGAATTTATGGCCACTAGGTTCGGACTGGGGGCAAACACCCCGATTGTCCGCTTCTTTGTATGGATGATGTTTGCCCTCAATTAGCACATGCACGTGTCCAAAATATCCACATCATCCATATTCTTGCTCTATGCTTTGATGCAATGGGGCTACAATACACATAATTTTTTTTCTCTTACTTTAACCTTCACGTTATACCCCTTTCAAGTTGGGTCTACTCTGCCTCTTTCAAAACTGAGCTGAAATGTTGAACTTGGAAGCCGACGGGTGTATCATCTTCATCACCATCACTGCTGCTACCTGACCATTCACTGCTGCTGTGCAGCTTGTTCACAATGCCGTCTCAGTATCGGTCTGAAAGAGTAGCTCGTGTATTTCCCAGTCACTGGGAAATCTACCAGCAACACAGAGCAAAACTAAGTGTGTTTTCAACTCAATGATCTGAAGTACCCAACTGGGTACATTTGTAAGTAAGTTGCACCATTTCACAGGAAACTGAAAGCAACAAGTGCAAAATTTTCATGTGCTTTCTCTAGTCTGTCATGATCCGTCATACCCACTGCTTAGCAATATATGTTTAACATTTTATTAATTAAGAAAAATTGATTCTCACTTGGTCGACTGCGTGTGCTTTTTTCGCGCGATGCCACCATACCCAATGATGGAAGTGCTGCTCCAATTGCTTCAAACTGCTCCGAAAGAGAAATGCTGCTCCATGCTGTTCCAAAGTGCAATATTAGCTTGTAACTGCTCCAAACATGCTCCGAAAGGATATTGGCAAACTAAATAGAATAAATTTGAACCATGGGACTATCCTGTGAGCCTAAGCGAAACCAAAAGCAAGCTGTATACACTATCATCCTTGTATGCTACTCAGTGGCGTAAATCCAGAAAAATCTCAAGGAGTGACACATGTCATGCCTTGGTGTCCAATTAGTATTTTCAATACGAGTTGTATTTTTATTTATATAAGAATTAAATAATGCTTTCAAATGAAGTTTAAGAAAGTGAGCATGGGGTTTGAGCTCAAGCAACTGCATTGTTATATCCTGTCCTTTTTCTCACCTTTTTTTTTTATTTCCATAGTTCACACAGCTGAGGGGCATTTAACACAGGTATGCAGTAAAAGATAAAAAGCCTTTTAAAAAGTTGATTGCACTATACTTAACTGTTAACCCAATTATAACATGCGCTATAGCTAAATCTCAAGTAGGACACTTGCAAATGGTGTCCTCCCCAGCCTGAACACAAAAAAGTCTAAACTCTCTTGACCCCCCCCCCACCTATGATTTACGCCACTGCTTCCATACAAGCTAGCATACCGCATGTTTAATGATAAATATAAATATTCATAAGATGCTTAAGTGATGTTTTAGACTACAGGAGTTGTTAGGAACGTGTATCTGCTCCAAAAACACCAATAGCAACCCTAAGCTATAGCATTTTTTTCTGCTCCAAAGACACTTGAGCCTGCTCCGAAACACCATTTTTTCTGCTCCAGAGTCTGCTCCAAAAAGGAAAATGTTGCTTTCATCACTGCATACCACTTTTTGCTGAGTGTGTGTACATGGGCCTATGACATGTCGTGGGCATTTTGTTTGCTCGCTTTTGCTCACAGACATCACTTTTTGTCAAGCAGTCTTCAAATATAGAAGCACAGCATGCGCTTCTCAAATATACCCAAATGCGTGCCCATGAACTGTAAAGGTTAAATGTTCATATGTGCTTACCATCATTGTGTTTTCATATTGGGAGGCTGATGAGTGGCTAGGCACCCATCGTAGTGTCATCATAACGAAGTGTTACATACTAGCAGCGTTTGCTTGAATATAGTGCTTAAGATTTTGCTTCCTGCTTGGGTGTGATTTAGAGGCCATAAAACTGTTTCTGGCTGCCTAAACACACGGCTTTTTTTCCCCATTTGCTTATTTACAGGAATAAAACTGAGCAGCTGAAAGCCAAACCTGGTGCTGTAAATAGTCTTGCTTGAAGAGGCAGGTTTTGATCTTTTTGGCTGTCTTGTGCACAGTTGGCTGTTAAGCAGATTCGAAGATTTGTGATAAGAACACGGTGACATTCCCAGCCATTCCACGACTGCTGTGAGCCCCACACATGACTACGACCATTTCTCCGTTCTTTCCTGCCTTCTGTTTTGCACAGAATGGTTCCCGTGTCTTCATAACTCAGAGCAGTGGTGTGCACTCTAGTCAGTTTCATGATGGACTGTTACACAGCTGTACAGGAGCAACCTGTGGTGTTGTTACTTGCGCAAGCTTCAAGCTGGCTGTGAATTCACACTGCATGTGAAGCTTCATGTTACTCGGGTTACTTAATAAAAATGAAATCCCGATTTCCTTGTACAAAAATGAAAAAACACAAATAAATTCAACTTTAAACAATGTGACTTGACCTTAATGGCTGTCCCAGCACAAGAATGAACAAGGCTATTCACAGTGACAAAACATGATATGCAACTTTATTAAGCAGCAGGTACTTTCCATTGAATGTCATACACATAGTGTCGTATTTATGAATGCTTTGCAGACTTTTTTTTTAAAGCTTTTTGTATTTGTATGATGGTAGTAATTGTGATTGTGCTACTTGAAAGCAAAAACACTGTTCCAACCTCCAAGAAAGCAATTGCCATGACACTACCTTTTGAATTCAGTCTTTCTTTGCACCACAATCCGATGCCAAGGTGCTGACTTTTCTATTTCCCTTTAATTGAGATTCTGCAACCAGAAAATTACCTAAAGGACTTCTCTTTTGTAAAAAGATAAACCACCAATAATATTGCCAATTCACTTTTACCCATATGAATCCAAAAGGTTGTGCACAGTCAAGGTTTGTTTGTTTATTTTTTTCTGAATGATAACAAAAATCATTGACTCTGAAAGACTATACAGTGATGAGAAATTCATTCTTCTTTAAAAAAAGAAGTCCTTCCACAAGTTTGTTTCTGTAAATGTTGGCAAGAAGCTCAGCAGCACACTACAAAACATCCTGACATGTGGAGTACAACATGAAATTGGTGTGCAGTGCTACTGACTACATCACAGTGACGTGTTATCCTTGAATAGGCTGTCCACATCACAACTGCCTTGGCAGCGATGGTGAAGATGAGGGAAGGAGTTCATTGCCCTTTCAGCATGCATACCACTCAGGCCCTCTGATGTGGCCGCATGGGCACTGTCGGCTACTTGCCTGCTTGCACTGATATCGCACCTTGTAAGGTGCACACACACACATGCACACACACACATGCACACACACACTCAAGTTTCACACAATTCATCAAAATACACAATTCTCAATGCTTGTTGGCACATGAACAGCTACCATTGATTATTTAAATGCAAAGCTAAATACATGCAGCTTCTCCCATGCACCTTTCACATGGGCAATATTGATGTGGCAGTGAGTTTGCAGCCAAAATATGTCTGGGCCCAAGAAAGGAAAAATACTGGGAAAACTGGAGAAAAATGCAGGTGACCAAGCAAGCACACAGGAACTAACACATCTCATACAAATGCCCACATAGTACAAACACACTGGAACAATACCCATAGAAGCTTTCTATGGTCCATCTACCATTCTTTAAACAAAGTAACAATGCATGTTCAGGAAGTGGATGCAACCTTTGGCAAGACATACATATCTGGCTGGCAACAAAGCCATATAACTATATACACAGCTTGCTATACCTGTAGCACTGCTGCAGAAAATATAAATGAAATTGCACGTAAGAAAACAAGAAAGTGGGGCCTCTTTTGAGTTTCTTGCAAACCCTATGCAATGTGCAAATGGGCACACCCATGTACACTAAAGCCCAATTACTATGACCGCCCTCATTTCATAACTAACCTCGCCGGGCATAATGATATATTACTGTTTGGTAAGTGGGCTTTGTTATAATATTCACTTGCTTTAGAACCACTTTCAACTGATAACAAAGTGGGTCATTGTTACTAGGCTCACTTTAGTGGAGGCATGGCAAAAAGGTGGTTTGATTTGGGGAACACTGCAGTGCACCCTACTTACAAATGTTTTAGCAGCAATATTACACTGACATTTTAACAAGTCACCGTAAATCATCAGTGCTTATAAGAGCTAAATCCACAAACTATGGTGTAAGTGGATCAGGCTACACTGTGGAAGCTCAATAATAATTTGGGGTAGGGTGCAGAGATATGCACAATTGCATCTGTTCATAGCCACAGAGCCGGAAACATGTATTTGCAGAGGGATTTTGTGATACACACTTCACAATCGTGTGCTTTCTGTTTAGTGTAGCTGAGATCTTCCCTGTTGCTGCCGCTCGCCTATATGTGTTTGAGAAAATTCAAAGTGACTATATTTGCAGCACTTTTGTGTAAAGGTTCCGATGATCTCCCATACTATGGTGCTGCCATGTACAAATGGTCTGTATCAAATTGCAGCACATCCAAGGTTGGATGCATGTATGGTATATATTCTGTCATTACAGGAGTAAAAGTTTTTCACTAACAGAATAGTCACCTGTTTGCTTTGTTGATATGTGCAAGGAATGTCAATTATGTGCATAAACAAATTATGAAGACACAAATCTAAACTTGGAAAGGCTGTTATAATTTATAGCCTTCCCATATTTTTATATATACAAGTGCTGCAAAACTCGTGCGAGGGCTAGCCGCTATCTTCATTCAGGGAGTTAATCTGCACAGAACAATGCCAACTGAAGTTTCCGGTTCTGAAACGGTGATCCAATCATGCCAACCCTGGAGACAAGCCCCCTCTCCAGAAGGAGGAAGAGGCACACCGGACTGGAGTTATCACAGATTGGTGTGGTTAGTTTTCAGCAACTGGATTCTGAGTGGTACCAGCCATCAAGCAGCTCAAGTGGCAGGCTGGTATGTGACACAGCACGTAACAGCTCGCGGTTCTGGCTGAATAGCTGCCAGTAGTCTGTCTCCAGTTGACGTTGGTACTTGGCAGCCCGTTCACGCTCTTCTTGCCATTGCTGGCGCTCCTGCTCGAAACCCTGCAAGGCAAGCTGCAGTTGACGCCGACAGCGATGCAGCTCAACCCGAAGTCTGCGCGCTTCTTCTTCAGTACTTCCGGCGATTCGCGTGCGCTCCATCAGACTAGTGAGTTCGGCCACCTCACTGTCCAGTTGTGGTGTTTCTAGCCATGACAGCTTGATCGCGCCTCCAGGCCGGCAACTGGCCTCTTCCAATCGACTTCCACTGAACACTGGGCTGTTATCCTGCATATGGTTGCAACAGCGGATTAGCACGACGCCACATGCCACTGAAAGGCCACAATAAATGTCCTCCAAGTACATCAATGCCCACTTATGCCTACTGTCAAGAGCAATACAAACAGGAGATAATTCTTTTTTGCTTTGTAACTCTTTACAGCTTTCAAGTTCTTCGATGCAGAGTGGGTTTTGTACATTGCATGTGGTAGTGACAGCATGTAGCCGAAAGCATGAAGACCCGTTTTCATGCGTCTTCCATAGCTAACAAAAACCACCATCTTGCCTTCGCGCTTGACTGACAAGACATAGGCAGTCAAACCATTGTTATGAAATAATACGAAAGCCGAGTTGTATTGATTGTACTTTTCAGTTACATGTTGGACGTTGCATGACAACAGCAAAAAATAAACAGCTTAGTGGTAACCATCACTTGGCCTGCACTGTGTGCCTGCCCACTTTCAGCGTCAAAACACTGGAATGGAAATTGTTGACAACAGATACCTATGTGTTGAACGAAGCATCAGCATATTGATTAATTTTTTGCAACAGTACATTGATTAATTTTTTATCTTTTTTGTGTGTGTTACTATTGATATAGGCACATATAGCAAAAGCGAGGCCACTTTTTTTTTTCTGCAATCGTGAATAGTCACTTTATCACCAGAGTTTGCATTAAACCAAAAACACATATTATCGAAAGTATTTTAATTCTGTAACAAGACATTATTAGAGAGTACTAGAACAGGGGAGTGATCGAACCAGAGTTTCAAAAAGTGAAGCCCAAACAGGGTTAAGACACTTTGGGTGCTGCAAATGGTAGTCTGCTATGTGTCATCGTTTTAAAAAGTTTAAGCGCTACTCTGCCAAAGTGGTGCCGAGGTTGAATGCCTGCTTTCCACTTGAAAGGCGTAAGTTTGAATCACAGTCTTTTTAGTGGGAAAAAAAGCATTCAACCTCAGCGCCACTTTGGTGTAGCCACACTTAACTCATTGAAACGATGACACATTTCAAACTATCGACCAATTTCTGAGTTGATATTGCCTTGAAGTAGCACTTCTGTACACTATATGATACATGAATAACAATATGCTTGGATGAAATCATGACACACACACAAAAACAAAGGTCTTACTTGAGGTGTCTGTGTACCACAACAATTTTCAAGAAAAGAACACAAGCAAGCCGAATGACTACAATTGTGTGACAGAACGACACCCTAAATATCCCCTCTAAGGTGTAGGGCTTAGAGGGCATATTTAGAGGATGCATAGAACAGGGGGATTCGCAGAATTGTGTTGGTAATGAAGTTATGGTGTTATTTTTTCATGCAGAAATACAGGAAAGCACACGTAATGTTGGCTTGAACTAGAGAAAATGACTACTTTGTAAAATATGTGCATCAGGTGCCTCCAGCAACACCACAAACTTTGTCCTCCTCTACGACTGGGGGAAGCTATGAACGTCATTGTGCGGGCCCTCAAAACATCTGACTGTGCTTTCAAACAGATTCTGATGTTGTATATGCTTATTTTTATTTATTTTTTATTGCATGGCTATTATCATGGCTAACTGTGGCAATCGCAATTGGTTCCACCTTAGCGTGTTTTGAGGCAGTCGTTCGTGTGCGAGTAGCAAGTGAGTAGTTTGATTTCATTCAAACGGTACAGAAGACGGCCCATGATCACGATCGGTTTGCAAGATTGTAATGCACAGATCGCAATTGATTGGGTGTTATTCAGCACCGGTCATTGTGGCATTTGGCATATGAGGATTCATCACATGTATGCAATGGGGCCTCCCAATGATCATTTACAAATCGTTTACCCAGATCCAGCACCGAAAGACATATGCTCAGAAAGCTCAAAGCAAACAACCATGCACAATAACGCCCAAACACATGAAAACATAGGCTGCCACAGATGGCTCCGTAGACAGCCACAGATAGAGACTGTAGGTCAAGCACATGCACGTGCTATTTACTATACAGAGCGAGCCCGTCATCCTTTGTCTGTTGACAATATTAACACATGCACTTTTATTAAAATACTGGTCCTTGATTGCCTTTTGATAATAGGGCTCTCAGTGGGAAGGGTCAGAAAAAGTGGGGGGGGGGGGGGGATGCAGCGAAACTTTGTATACCCCTGGAGTGTGCTTCAAAAAGATGTATGATACCAGCACTTTCAAAGTTACATATGCAGGAGAACCGTAAACTTGTCTAGCACAAAGTCAAATCGAAAAGCGTGGTGCAAGCGACTGTTGAATCGGTAAATTAGTGCAGGAAACAAAGTCAAATATCAGCTTTCTCGAAACACTGGAAGGTACGCTAGAGTGAAATAATGAATGTTCCATGACTGAAGCTATTTTTGGAAAACTCCACAGTCATCAATATACCCCTCCCTGTTTGTAAACAGTGCAACGTCACTGCGGGCACCCCGTCCACCATACCCTCTCTCGGAGCAGGTGCTGGTTGGCAAGAAAGTTTCACCAGCGGCATATTTATGCATAGCAGAACAGCATGTCTGCATTCCTTCGACAGAAATTTCTACATGGCTATGTTCTAAAAACAGCTTTTGAAAGAAGGGGGTTGCAGAAGGGCCACTGCTCATAGTGCGGAAATTCGCTCATCGTAGTTGGATGGAGAAACTTTGTTTAGAGTACCGAGAGACGTGGCTATAGCACGCAGTCAGCTTCACCCACGTAGATGGCAGCCATAAAAAAATTGATCTTTTGCAAAAGCGAATGTTTTGAATGTACGCAGTTGACTGGCACTTTGAGAAATATTTGCATGGCATGAATGTAAACTCATTCAATTTCCATCGTGGCATGTGCACTGCAGTTTTAAACGAGGTACAGCATTGGCGGCAGCATGGTTTTGAGCTGCTGTGCGCGACGTCATGAATAAGATTCTCGCTCATTGCGCAAAACTCTGATTGAAGATGAATGAAAAAAAAAAGAGAAACACTTCTTGCCGTGTAAGGCTCAGGTTAACATATCCTCGTGAAAATTAAAGTGAAATTCTGCGGTTGCATTTCTCAATAACCCAGTGAAAATTATTTACGTAATGTAAAACCCGACAACTTAATAAGATACAACATTTGCAACAATATTATCTGACACACCTTGCTGCATTTGACACGTATAACGTGTTGTCGTACCTATATTGCTTCTTAAGGCCTGATACACGAACTTGTAACGCTAATTGTCACTTAATAAGGATCGAGCTGTAAAGGTAGAAAGTAGATAAGAAACGAAAATCTCCGCTGTTTCCATTAGCACGTATCAGGTATCCAATAATACCAATTATAGCCGTGGTGAAGCGTAGATGCAGATTCGGCAATGCTGCAACATGCTTATACCTAGCTCATGCATAGTGCCCGGAGATCATGTACTTCTATTTTTCTGCACGTCGCGCATACGTTGAGATGTACCCACTCGCAGATAATCGCGTCAAATGCATTTTTACCTTGACTAAAATGTCAGATCGTAAATTTCCATTGATTACCGGTTACTCCAACCGACCCACAACGAATACCAGTGTTTTCGCAAACAGGATGCATCGCGTTATTCACACTGCACACACCATGCACAATATTCCCAGTTTCACCGTCAGTAATGGTGAACCAATATTTTCGATGCCTTTCAACACACACTACACGCCACAGTCAACACAGCACATTTTTGAGGATGATACCGCTGTTCCTCGCACAGGCCGCCACGTGTGTTCACTTCTTGGTGATAAACAGCCAGCCAGCGTGGCAAGTATTTTATCACGCACTTTACTACATACCTAGATGTTCTCTGACACATACCACACCTAATGTTGCCACTGTGAGATGAAAATAAAGCTTTAAAAAAGAAAAAAAAACTTGGCCCAAGCACTGAGCGACTGCACCCCACTCAACCACCGGCAGGAGTGTTTTGCCAACCACCGCCTTGCACGTGCACCGGTGACATCACGCTGTGACGTACCCCGGTAGAGGTCTTAATCACCATCACATTTTTATTAATTGAAGACAAAATGAAGGTCAGAGTGGCATTTCTTAATTTCATGCCGACATCTATCAAGGATGATCAAAGCGGTGGCTCAATGACGTTTCTTGAATTTTGCTACATTAAAGGGACACTAAAGGCAAATATTAAGTCTGTTTTGGTTGTTGGAATAGCGGTAAAGAAATGACATAGCGCTACTTTTTGTGCCAAGAAAGTGCTTATTTTGAAATAAAATCATGTTTAGTGGCCCAATCGCATTAGCGCACTTCGAATCACCCACCTGAAAGCGGTCTTTCAGACGTCACTCTTACTGTTCCCAATGTTGTCATCTTTTACTGAGTGGCCGCCGACACTAGTAGCAGCAGAGCAAAAGTAGCGGGAGTCACAGCAGCAACTGAAAAACTTTCTGCTTGTTTGGTTCGACTGGGGCCCCATTAGATGCCACTACTTATCCAGCCAAACTAGGTGAAAAGCGAAACTTTTCAACCACTTGCGCCATTCCCCATAGTAACGCCACATGGCTTTTTTTATATAAATCAAACAAACAGTCAAGGTGCATTTTATTACATCTCTTGTCCATGGAAGGTCATTTATCTTTTATTACAGCTAGATTGATTACGGATGATTGATTGTAGTGGGACACTCACATCATCGGGATCATTTCCTAAATGCCACACTTGTGGCGCACGTTGTGCGATAAATTTATCTTAAATTCTTGGCAAGTATGTCCCTGCTGTTGATAATATTTCAGTTTTAAATGTTGTCACACACTGAGCTTTCACTCTGACATAAACTTATTTGCCTTTAGTGTCCCTTCAGGTCCCTGGCCGCCTCAAAGAGCAATGTACTTCATTTTTACGCAATAAGAACTATGTAGACTATAGTAAATGCCATAAAAAATCCATGACATCACAGCAAGTTGGTGATGAAAGTTCAAGTTAGTGTCGCTACCTGCATTTTCTATTTGAGCAATTTTCTCGCGGCAAGAGTCGTGCTTTCGATGTTATGAAAGGGTACGCGAATACAAAAAAAAAGCTCAAGTGTTCCTTAAGCAATGCACCTGGTACAACATCGTGGAGTAAAATTAACCCGACAAAGGAAAAAAAAACTGAGTCAATTGCATACGAAATATCAGATAGCGATAGCTGCATAAACCTTGTCCATGACACAGTAATAAGAGACGATTCAATGTGTAGATTGGCTGCAGCGTCGGCATTGTGCAAAGCATATTCTGTCCTACATTTTTTTGAAAGAATGTTCTACCATGAAATTTAGGTTGAATGAATTTCTAGGGACCTCGGAAAAAAGTTTGATAAAGTGAAAGATCACTTGACTGAAACAGCTATGTTACAGCTTAATTATAACCACAAGATAAAAGAAACATGTTCAAATGAAATTTCAGCCCAGTTATTTGTAATACTACATATGAATTCATTCTTACTGGGCGCTTTGGGAAGAATGCAGTCGCCTTTTGCTGCACTTGTGCACCTGGGGCTGCAGGGGTCATGCACTGAGAGAGAAAGAAAGAAAGCATTTATTGGTACCCATCAAGAGTAACAGGGAAGAAAGCTTTGGCCTTTGTCCCAATTGATCCCCGTAACCATCAACTGGAATTCCTAGAGACTCAGTGGTTAGGGCTACTGTGTCCAAGCTAGGGGGCAATGTATGCCTCATACATTGACTTAATAAAGAGGGCCTGGGTGAACCGAGATGAACCTTGCCACCCCCCTCCCCCCTTGAAAGGAAACCAGCCCTGCACATGCCTACGTTTCTCCAGCACAACACTGTTTGCAACAAAGTACTTGAGTTTATCAGACACATCAATGCTTCTTTAGATCCATTTTTGGTACACTTCCAGGGCCATACTACGTTTCTTTCTCTTTTTTTTTCCCTTTTTTGGGGAGGGGGAGAAAGAGAGACAGAGAGATGGGCTGTAGAACAGCTAACTTCAGCAACTTGTGGCTGCTGTGAAGGCGTGTCAATGATTCATTATCACCCGATAAGGTCATGCATGAAAATGTTAAGAGGGGGGGGAGGGCTCACAGCTTAACCTTCCCCCCTATTTATGGCTTTGCACAATTCTTTTTGATAACCATAATAACATGATGAAAAGAACAAAAAAATTCGGCATGTCTTACATACCTGGAAGCCCCTATTATGCGAAGCATGGGGAGGGAAGGTGACTGTGCCGTATTTTTATTCAGCGAAACATCACCATACCTACCAAGTTCAAGGATTCTTAATCCAGAAGATTACCGTAATGGGGGGGAGTCTGCCTCCCCCATTTTTTTTCACACACACAAAAAAAACAATCGTCGAAAAATAAAGCAAGTGGGGTCCCAAACAGTTCCTTCCTTCATGCCCGTAAACGTCAACATTGGCGTTGTGGTCTTACAATCGCTTAGAAACAATGCAAATGGGGGTGTCTCTACTGCAGCTCTATCTTGGTAATACGTACGAATTTCAAGCAGGATGGAAAATATCCTTATCACCCAAAACTTTGTATATTGAAACAAACAAGTAAAATCAGATTGCAGACCATGATATGTGCGCCAGACATTGCTTTCCATCAAAATAAATTTGCCTTCACACGCAAACGCACCAATAAGAGATGGCGCAGCTGGGTCAGACCCCAGAAACTCGGCGCTAGTTTTGGTTTCAAGGAACATGTAGGCTCGTAGCAGTTGCCGGACATTCTAAGATCCGGTTCAACGAAGTGAGGTTGATGTAAATGTTCGCATTTATTGGGTTTCGCAAGTTTTTACAATTAAAAAAAATCAATATCACTGTAAAGAACTTCTCTTTAGTTTATATATTTTAGGAGCGAAGCTCCTTAAGGCGTGGGCTGTGCGTCCCCTGTATGTAGCCACCTCTCGTTCAGTTCTAAGTATTACGCTAGCCACCGCCCGATCTAAAGGGTACAGCCATATCCATTCGTCCATCCGTCCGTCCGTCCGTCCGTCCATCCATCCATCCATCCATCCATCCATCCATCCATCCATCCATCCGTCCGTCCGTCCGTCCGTCCGTCCGTCCAAAAGATGCAAGATGTTATAAACTAGACGGCGGTACGTGTAGTTGATTATGAAAGATGCGAGGTGTTATAAAATAGGAATGATGCCACATATGGCGCGTGTCATCGTTCGATATAGTGCGGCGACGTACGCTAGGGGGAGCGTTGCAATAAAATCGAGTGGGCAAAATGTACGGAGGATTCATGGTTTACCAGGTTTACCTCCAGAGCTTCGCCCACTCATCATCATTCACTTCGTGGATATGGCGGCTTTTTTTTTTTTCTTATTCTTTAACTTGTGAATTTTAAATCGGGCAAAGTGCGGGAAGTGACTTGTGTTCATAGCACTTGCCTCTGCTCCTTCTCGTCCCTCGCTCAGCGAAATTAGAAGTTGGATCGCGCTCAGTTATCTCGCTCGGTTGGAGTGTCAACTACGGTACATTCTAACTACTGTAACTACGGGAAAGGTAAAGACAGCAAGTTGTGAGGGGCAGAGAAGAGAAGCCACAGTGAGCTACGTGCATTCATTGAAGATGGCTTAATCGGGCAACACATGTTTTCCGCAACCTTGTGGTGTGCTAACCCAGGGATTTCTAGTTCCGCGAAGGTTTTTCATCATTTCCTAAAGAAAACGGGTGAACACAAGAATTTGGACCCATTATTTGAACAAGTATTGATTTTGCGTGAGTGCATATGAGTAAACCCAGTTCTCTGCATGCCTGACCGGACTGACAGAAGTGCAGTGTAGCTTGACTAATTGGCGAAGATGGCAGCCGCGCTCCTGTCGGGAAAATGCGTTCATTGAGAAGCTTGAATTCTAGTTGGCTTGGCTACATAGTTTTAGTTTCTTTTACTTTTGGTGTGTAGTTCAAATGATGTCACGTAATTATAGGCTGCTTCCTGCTCATTAAATTCTTGTAGCCGTAGTTTGAAAATTTGCAAGTCTTTACTTCTAATAGTGTCACTGAAATACGCGTGATGGAGTAAATGTTCCTAAAAGTTATTACAGATAATGTCGATAGAGCAAACGTTTTGACAAGTCAACTTTTCTTCTTCAAGGCAATGCTGTTGCCCTGATGAAGACAAGTCAACTTGCCAAAACGCTGTTTACAGCGACGTTCTTTCTCGAAAAACTTCTGAACGCTTCAGCCCTCTCTGTGTCTCTGAATTTCAGTCTCTTTTGGTACTCAAATTCTGTGAAAAAAACTATGCGTGCTGTCATAACAAACATGAGTCAAATATGGCATGTTCTACTCGCGATTGTTGATAATTTTCGCATTGGTTCGAATATTCTAGGTCAAACGTTTGCTCATCACATGTATGTCAGTTGTAAGTTCAAGCTGCTTTTATAGATTGACACTTTCACACTATATTTGATTAATATGTGGGGTGTAACGTCCCAAAACCACCATATGATTATGAGAGACGCCGCTGTGGGGGGGCTTCGGAAATTTAGACCACCTGCCAAATCTGGGCACAAGGGCCTACAGCATTTTCGCCTCCATCGAAAATGCAGCCCACACAGCCGGGATTTGATCCCGCGACCTGCGGGTCAGCAGCCAGGTACCTCAGCCACTAGACCACCACGGTGGGACACTTTCACACTACGTGTATGTGTGTTTTTTGTTGTTGTTTTTTAATACAAAACGTGCAATGAAAAAGTTAGTTTTATTTGTGCCGATCCAGTTTCATCTTACTGAGAAATCAGTCAGCTTAACTTTCGCCTCTTCAGAAAACACGAACAAAATTAAGAAAAAAGAAGATTAAGAAAGTTTTACGAATGGCCGCATCGCCCAAGCGGCCAGCGGACCTGAAAGAAGGCACGAGCGCATTCCGCTTGCATGCGAAGGGTTCCGGAAAGGAGGACTTCCGCGGCGACCCTCCTCTCGTTTTTCCTTCTTTCCCTCTATTCGGGGACCTCGCTAATGATCGTATGAAAAAAAAAAAAATCTGTGATTTATTTCCAGCAGGATGCCCCGCAGCCGTCAGTGGTAAAAGCCGCGCTCTCGCTGCCGAGAGCAAATACATAGCGAGTTTCCGCTCCCTGGCTGGTTGCCGCGAAAGTGCGCTTCAAAACTTCGCTTGAGGCCAACTGAGAAGTGCGTAGACGGCTACACCGTAGTCAAATGCGAAGACTGACATGAACACAGAACCGTTTCGAGTCTTTTTGTTAAGCCTTTATCGTATTTAATCTACCATTGCGTTAGTAGCGTATTTTCGAAAGTCGTAATCCCTAATGATAGTCGCGTCGCAGTGACCGTGGTTTCGCTCGCGGTGGTTGCGGCAAACGGCAGTTCCGCGCGCGCTGGCCGCGCACGTGCCTTCAAAACCGTGTCGCTTTTTGCTATCGATGATTGCATCTGTCACGGTTTTGTCGTTTGCGCAAAGAAGCGTCGCTTTGACTGGGTGAGCGTTGGACGCGCGTCGAGTGACTGCGCTTTCGTTGGCCACGCGTGTTCCTCCGAATCTTCGAGCATGTTGCTCAGCCACTGCTCGGTGGTTTGGTACCGAAGTTCGTATGACCCGGTGCGACGCGCCAAAGTGTTCGGAACATCCGAATTTCGGCCCACTGGACACAGTGGAATTCTGCAGGGGAGGAAATTTCGCGAATTCGTATAACCGAGACCCCACTGTACGTTCAAATCAACGCCTCCAAATTAGTTTGAATAATGATGCGATAGTGCGATATTTTCGCAAAAAGTCTGGATACGATTGGGTTGTATTTGTGCTAATGCGGCCAGATCACGCACAGAAATCTCAATTTCCGGGGGACTTTTCAGCCAATCGTACAAACGTAAGAAATGGCCGAAATCCGGGAGACTTGGTAGGTATTAATCATTAAAAAATGATTCTAAAGGTGTGTACAGATGATGTACGCACAAATATATGATATGTAATAGTCTCAAATGTTTTATATGATTGATTCATTTATTTATATGTGGGGTTTAGCGTGCCAAAGTCACCATATACGAAAGACGCCGTAGTGGAGGGCTCCGGAAATTTTGACAACCTGGGGTTTTTTTTTAACGGGCACCTATATCTAAGGACACTGGCCTAGAGCCTTTCCGCCTCCATCTAAAGTGCAGCCGCCGCAGCCGGGATTCGATCCCGAGACCTGTGAGTGAGCAGCCGAGTACCTTAGCCACTATACCACCGCGGTGGGGCTATGTTTCATATATGCAGTTGTTTACAGATGGGTAACGATGCAGAGAGCATAATGGGCATTGACAACCGCAAAAGTGGTAAGCTGACAAGCAGCGCCTAATTTTACAGCAAAAGCTGTTACGAGATCAAAACTCGGGTCACGCGCGGCGCCGTAGTTGTCCGCCGCCGCCACCGGTAAAAAACCTAGTACCAGTGACACGGTGGCGCTCGAACCTGGGTCCGATGGGTGCCAGCCCCGTATTCTACCACTGAGCCACGCCAATGCTTAAGACTTGTGCGCAAGCTTGCCTTAGGCAGCCTTGATGTCGGGGAAGCAATCGCGTTAATACGAC